TGTTTTTGTTAATCAACATTATTAATCTAAAAGAGGTTTTAGACGATAACCTAACGGAACCTTTGTTGCAGGTAATTTCTTAAAGGGCCCTTTTCCTTTCCCAGTATCACTTCTTCAGGACACCAGTCCAACTCTTAAACATCGCCTTTGCTTTGGTTACCAACAGGCTGAACACACCTCCAGGATGGCTATGCTCCCTGGTGAAAACCTGAGTGACATTCTATAACAATCTTGGCTGCAGTTGGTTTTCTGGAGGCGATCTCACTGTCAATCTTTATTCCAAAAGTCAACCTTCCTCTTCGCATGGATTATTATGTAGGGACTTTTCTGTGCTGCCAGAAAACTTCAGCCTGAACTTTTAAATGGAAGAAAAAGCCTTAGGGCACAATTGGGCACCCATGTGCTGCTTTAAGAATGTGTGTTTGTTTTAAATTGGTGCTCCATCTCTAAAGTTCAAGAGGAACCTTTAAAAAAAATCAGTGTTTAAAAAGATCCAATTTCCCTGCACCTTTCGTCAAGAGTTCATAGTTACTTCCTCTGCTGGAAGGAGCACTAACTTACCTTCGTAATAGTGAAGAAATCAAAAACAATAGATTCCCTTTTCTTCATCAGCAACTTTTCTTCTAAAACTATCCTTGCTTTTGAATGCAAGAGCTTCAATTCTCTACTATTTGACATTTACAATCTCAAAAGCAAATAATGAATGCTGAACTCCAGAACACACTTGCAAATACTCTTTACTCCCGCGTACGCACTTCAAACTGTACTTCCGTGACTGCTGATGAACAGTTTTCCTATGTGGGCTCTCACAGAACACTGTCTCCCCCCCAACCCCACCACCACCACCAATACAGCCCTTCCCACGTGGTATTACTGGCGGTGTGAGTTTGCTTCCGCCCTGCTGGCACAGTCTGTGAGCTCCTGAGAGACAAGGACCAAAATTTATTCACCTCTAAATTTCAAAACATAGCAGAGTAGTACTAGGTGCTCATAAATTTATTTGCTGAATTGAATTGGACTGACAAATTTCTCTTCAGGCCATGTTAATTACTGGCTAAGACCAGGCCTCCTCAAACAGAGGACAGCAGTGAAATGAAGTAATTATCCAGATCACTGAGGACCAAAAAAATGTGCTAATTTGGGCAAAGTGAGTAAGCAAGATTTTGCCTAACTGAACTAATCCATCATTTCATTGCAATGCTTAGCTTTGCTCATGGAAATCTGACCTCTGTGAGGCAGGCCTATTCTCTCCTGTGCTTTGTGTTATAACCGAGTCATCTGTTTTATATTGGTGCTGAATATACCCTACACCTCTTGTGCACAGGACAAAAATCAAGTCCTAATCCCTGTCAACTGTCTCATGGGAGTACCAGTGGCTCCAAACAAAGTCCTCTGAGGGCAGTGTGTAGATGGTTCTGTGAAACCCATGACTGGACCCACATTTCAAAGACCATGTTCCACTAATAGGGTGAGCCACCAGTACCTTCTTTATACACCAAAGTCAGCAAATTGCATAACTAACTCAACTTTAGCACATGGTTTCTTTTAATGAAGTCTGCACAATCCTCTAGACCAGTGGTTCTCAACCTTCTGGCCCTTTAAATACAGTTCCTCATGTTGTGACCAAACCATGAAATTATTTTCGTTGCTAGTTCATAACTGTAATGTTGCTACTGTTATGAATCGTAATATAAATATCTGATATGCAGGATGGTCTTAGGTGACTCCTGTGAAAGGGTAGTTTGACCGCCAAAGGGGTTGCGACCCACAGGTTGAGAACCGCTGCTCTAGACAAAAAAATGAGTCAATACATTTACCCTTTGGGATGGAGATAAATCTATACTGAATTTTAAGGATTATTAGAGGAAGAACATAATGTTGCTTTTTATACAAACTAATAGCTTTGTTATTGACAATAGATATGTTTGTTGGTATCATCCCCTCCCCAACCCCACACCCGCTCACTTGTACTTGATCTAAGCAGGAAAAGCAAAGTTACACAACTAAGCAACAGATTAGAAATTTAAATACTTGACTTCTAATCTTTTGTCCTTCTGTGAAGGTAATTAATTTCCTTATCTATATGTGTCTAGCTTCAGAAATGGAGGAAATGTTTCCACTGTGTTTCATGATGCAGCATAATTTTGAGAAAGCCCTTTGAATTTGGTAAATTTAAATCTTTTCATTTACAAGCTGTTATTTAGTTTACAAAAAACTGGGGTGAAAAACTAAATTAAATATATAACTAGATACAAAATCAATACTGTCAAACTTAAAGGATTTTTAAACACCCTAAAAGCTTAAAAGCAGGATGAATATTTATTAAAATCAGTGGGAGACAGAACTCTACTCCCTTGGACAGTGGAGAGTAGTAGAGAGAACCTGGATATCAGAAAAATCCTCCTGGGAGTTTCAGCTGTAGCCATCATGAACTTTTGTGACATGGGCAAGTCACTGAACCTTTCTGAACCTCACTTTGCTCACATCTAAAATAAAAATAATATTTTCAAACTTATCTAATTCTTGAGGTTGTTCTGAGAAGAACAAGAGATAACACAAGTGAAAATATTTTGAAACTGTGGAAAGCAACAGAATCTACAGACACGATTATTATTATTTTGGCTTGTGGATGTTGAAGGTGACGATGACAGCAGTGGCATGATATTCGCCATCAGATGCATCACTAATGCTCTGCTGTTAGTTAGCACAAGTATCAAAACAGCAAATTAATTTTTGTTCCTATTCAGCCAAGAGCAAGGCTGAATATGTGTGTTAATACCAAGTGAAAAACAACTTATATTAATAAATAGATAATAACAAACACATATATCCTACAGCTCCGTTAGAAAAAGACTAAAAGACATATTTCTTCAAATTAAAGAGTCTTCTTCTCATATGGCTTCCTCCTCACTTTTGTAGGACAAACTTGTTAGCAAATGTCAATCATATCTTATTAAATTGACCATGAAAAAGGTAAACTTCAGACAGAGATTTTTAGGCCTGGGCTCCCGTTCTTTGCTTTTATAAATCCTGCTCAAGCTTCCTAAAAGAAAAAGGAAGGAAGGAAGGAAGGAAGGAAGGAAGGAAGGAAGGAAGGAAGGAAGGAAGGAAAAGAGAAGAATTTGAGTGTTTTACAATGTGGGTTATGTGATAAACTAAAGGTGAGAATTTATGAAACAAGGCATGTCTAGGAAGGAGAAGAAAAAAAGAGAAAGAAGAAAAGAAAAAGGAGAAAGAAAAAGGAGGTGAGATAAAGAGACTAGTGAATAAATTCAAACTAGTGTGGGGAAAAACCAGGCAGTCAATACCAGAAGCCTTAGTCCAGGCATATAGTCATTTACATTTCACCAGGAGGTCAGGAGCTAACCCAGACATAATCCACTATGTCTTAGGTAACAGGAAAGCATCCAGAGGATACTGAAGCATGATAGCAACCATCTCGGGTAAAAAATTCTGTTTAATATCTTAACCCTGCTGATTTGGCTTCTGTAATTATTTGCTTGCTAAATAATAGAAAAGTTATTTTGATTTTCTGAACTTATATAAGTTATCCCATTTGATTGACTACTCCACTGATTGTAGTTTGAATACCCCATTGATTGTGATCTTACTGGTCTTTCAAAACACATTCCTCTGCACCTGGAGAATAGGACAGCACAATTACTCTAAATGGCCTCAGTGCCTCCAGATAATATGTTTTCATTAACTCAGTGGTCCCAAGACCCGAAACTATAATTAATCTTTGTAGATAACTAACTTGCTCAATCTAAGCTTCTGTAATAAACTGCTTTTTGCAAACCAGGTTTCTCATTCCAAACCTCGAGATGTAATCAATACCTTTGTGATATTTGCCTATATAAGTCTGATGTTTCGGCCAAGGGGGCACTACGAGATTTGGAGAGCATTTGCCCACTCGTAGTCCCGGCTTTGAAATAAATGTGGCTCCTTAATTCGACTTCTTGGGGGGGTCCTTGTGTGATTCGCAGGGTACATCACAACAATACCAGCCAACTTCCTAAAGACTAGACTTCTTAAATAAAGTAGAAATCTTCAACTAGCTTTCTTCTCTTTGTGGCTTGCTAACATCCAAGATGATAACCCATGGCCCTTGGTAAAGATTCTATTGCATCACGAGAAATAATCTTTGTTTTTCTACATATCATTACTTCTCAATTATTTTCAATAAGATTCTTCCCCAACACTAACTATTATAAGTTAGCTAGAAAAAGGTAGAGGCAACACTTTAGTTCTCTGTAATCATTCTCAAAATGATTACCCTTAAATAAAGGTATTTACGAAGAGCCTTAGACAAGCTGATAATCTCCCAGTGGCTTTCTTAGCTAGCCGCAGCAAAACTTCCTAAGTATTTTGTTATTTAAAAAATAGAAACCAAAAGGAGCTTCTTTTCTGTAACAACTTTAAAGTCCACATATTTTTGCATATGAAGAAATAATTAAATTAGATACTATCGATATAACATGTGCCCCAACTTAAATTAGTGTCCAAAACTGCTTTGTGGGATATTATGGTATCATGTGGCGGGGCAGGGGGTGGGAGCGGCGGGGGGGAAGTGTTTCATACTCAAATAAGTTTTGGGAACACTAAACAAAACTAGGTTTAAAAGAATTTTTCTGCTGGATTTCTCAGAACTACAATATGCTATCATGTACTGTGATTATTCTAAAAAAGTGTTTACAAAATTTATTTAACCATGAAATTCTTTTTTCTGGAAGAAATGTGGTTAAGAAATGCAGGTCTATAATATGGCAGAAATATGTCAAAGAGTTCATCATGACCATTTAATATTTGTCTTTGTGTGGTTAATTCTACTTAGGCCAATCCATGTAGCCACAGAGAACCAAGGTCTTGCCAGGTTCTGTTTATTTAAGGAGTTGATACAGATTGCTTTGAGGGAAGAGAAAACCAGATTTAATCAGCACCAACAATTCCAAGGATTTCCCCCCACCCCGAGTGACAGCAACTTAAATGGTTTAAGCTACCTTTTCCATGAAATCGCAAGGTCCCAATATTGTTTCACCTTCATTTCATTGGAGAGAATGGGGACTACATGTTTATGGAACTACAAAAGCCATGACACAAACCACAAAATACCTGTGCATCCTCATTTCTAGAAATTCTAGGAAAGAGGATATCCTACAGAATGTAAGAGATAATTTTAAGGGTAATGACTTAATATCTAATATGTCTGCATCTAGCTTCCAGGAATTCATATTTGATTTCAAAATTTCCCATATCTGCATCTCTGACATTCCGTTCTCTCTTTTCTAAGACAGCTCAGCTATGACACAGCTGGTGACAACTATCAGATGACTGTTTCTGCTACTATAGAAACTCAAGCCAGATATTCATTCCAGAAGACTTTTCTTACATCAGAATAACGATGACCAGTTTTGTTCTGTTTTGTTGTGTTTTTTTAAGGGCAGTGGGAAGGGCCTAGCTTTTCTCTGTTTTCATGAAGCTCCTTTCTCCCGAGCTGCAGGGGAGCCTCCCACAATACGACAGTAGCTCCGGAGCGTGCTCCGCGGCTGCGGCAGCTCAACCATGCAATTTTATAGCAGGCAGCAAACAAGGCAGAGAATTCAGGGTTAAAAACTCAAGTGAAGTTTTGTCTTCTACAGTAATGAAAGCTGACTAAAAGAGTAAATCAAATGGATCTCCTAACAAAATGAAAACAGCTGTTTGGCCTGGCTTGGTCTCTGATTTAGGTTAAGTAATTATTGCTCTAGTGTGGTTCAAGGTTGTTCTGTATTAGTGAAATAGGATATCACATGAAAATCATCCAACTTTTTAATTTGCTGTAGAATCAGAAATTCCACTGTATAAAAAATTCCAGAAACGTAATCTTCTAAAAACTTTACCTATAAACCTTTTCAAATACCAATTGATTAAATCTTTCAAGACATAATTACTCAATACATAATTACATTATAGTAATAACCTTTAGTGTCTATGCTGAGAAAATATTTTAATATTTTAACTCTAAAACACTGTTTTTCTGAGTGATATATTATATCCCAATTCCCAAATATCTGTAAAAATCATCTTTTTTTTGTACAGAGATTTTCCTATGAAGAGTAACCAGTGAATAACTACTTCTTGAGCCCTCAAACAAGTCTATTTAATAGTCTCAATCTTTTTATTTTTTTTTAATTCAACTTTGGCCTACCAATATTGGTTGAGAGGAAAAACAAATATAATGAAGAATCAGAGCAAAGAAGTATTCTTGAGGAAGAGGTTTCTGTGTTTAACACTCTTCAGAGTAAAATAAATTACTCAAGTTACTTGAGGTTCTATTTCTTGATTGTGGACTTTTGCTTTTGATTTTTCTATCACCATTGTTAGTTTTACTCCTCCCTAGTTAAGCACTGTATTTCTGCTTCTGCTTGCCTATGACAACAAAGGACAAATCAATGGCAAGTTTGTGCTGTTTTTTTAAATGAGGCTCCAGCCTTGGCTTGTATGGCTCAGTTGGTTGGGCCTCATCCAGTGCACTGAAAGGTTGACGGTTTGATTCCTGGTTCAGGGCACATGCCTGGGTTGTGGGTTGGATACCCTGTAGGGAGTGTGCAGAAGGCAGCTGATTGATGTTTCTCTCTTCCTCTCCTTTCCTCTCTCTCTAAAAATCAATAAAAATATTTTAAAAAATAAAATGAGGTCCCAGTAGATATTTTTAAATGGCTAGAACATTTTTAAAAATGTTATTTGATATAAGTTCTTGAAAAAAACAACAACAATGACTGAAAGTCTTGGCCACTGTGGATTTTAAGTCACCCTCCATTATTCTACTGGATGGATACTTAAATGTCTAAACAAACAATAACATTAACATACTTTCTAACACTAACAACTATTTAAATTGTAGGACAACATTTCTTCAAAAGTGACATCTTTTGAGCATTTTAGTCCACTAAGGTGCATTCAACTTAGTTATGAACAAAAAAGGAAGAGAGAAAATTGCATCAGAAAATTAATATTTTAAAGAAAATTACTTAGGTAGTGTAAAGCCCAAGGGAAAGTCTCAGATGTTCTTGTTACAATTATTATTGCTGGATGCAAAAATGACATATTTACCTTTCCAGTGGGATAGTTTTATAGCTTTACTAAGTCTACATCGTATTTCTTGCTCGTCCTTGCCAATTATCCTAACTAGTGCTTGCCAGCACATCAGAATAACAGAAACAGCAGAGTTGCATGTGTTATTTCTCTAAAATGTTTCTCCATTATGATCCTTCTGGAGGGGAGGGTCAGTATTCCTTAAGTGGAGAATATATCATGTTCGGGGTTTCCATTTAGAATTGTGTTGTGGAACTAAATCAACAGTGTACAAATGACCTAAGAATCAAAGAGGAATTCAGTGAAAACAATATTTAAAAGGAAGGTTTAATTTTTCTCCTTCAGATAGTTAACGTAAATTCTATTAACTGAGATCTTCAAAATTGAGAGGGCACAAGAAGCAAGTCTTCGTTCTTAGCAGTCTGCAATCCGAGGAGGGTCCAATAGAGGAGTTGCTTCGCCCCTTTGCAGACTCGGTGTTTTCCTTTCAGGAAACACAAAGCCTGCTGTTGCTACTGCATAAATCTTAGTGAACAGCAAATGTCGTCAACTCAAATTTACCAAGAAAATTGACATATTGGAATGGCTGGGGGGGGTGTGGTCAATTGGGGGAAAAGCAGACATATGTAAAACTTTAGACAATAAAAAAAAATGGACGTAGTTGGAGCCACTTAGTGCATCTTTAATTACCATGTCCAAGTATAAGGTCAAAGTCAATTCAGTTCTCTGTGGACATGTTTCCATAAGCAGTGTTAGAGCAGTACTTCCAGGTAGAATCCCAATGCTGAAAGGAGAAACTGCCTCCCTGAAAATCACTTACGTTTCTCTCAAATATTTCTTTTGAGACCCTGATCTCAGTCACTCATGATACTTCTCCATCTTTGAATAATCCTTTAGTTGCCACATCTGCATGAGTTCCATCTTGGGAACAAATGTTTTACGAATCTACACTAAAAAAGTCTTGCCCCTTATATTTTTTTCTGGATAAATCTCCTAAGATATTACTATTTTCCTCCTTCTTCTTGACAAAATTTCAGGGATAAATCTAGTAATTTGTAGAAACTAAGCAATTAGCATCAGTGATGAATCTGTTGGTTTGGAACATTGTTTCTGAGCTAATGCTCAGTTTCAGAGAGGACACATAGCAGTGAGGGGGGAAATGCACTGAGGGCTTCACACCTTTCATACATATTTATTGATAAGTGTTCTTATAACCATTTGGTTGGTCAAGTTGTTTATAGGTGACGGTCCTGGATTTTCTGGATAAGGTCAAAGGTTTCTAAATCCCAGTGGTTAAATTGGCACCAGGTTGCTCAAAGTAGTTGAAATCAACCATCCAACGTTTCATCATAGGTACCCAGAGATTGGGAATCTAATCAATTTTGTTTTGAAGAATGTATTCAACAAACGAGTCTTCTTTTAGGAAGCCAAATCCATGCCAAATGGTACTTTGTTTCCTTGATCATGTACGGTTACCCTGAGGATGAGCAGGACATTTTTTAAGTGAAATGGAGTTTCAAAAGATTAGGATTCTTCAAGATCCTCTTCCACCTTCTCCCCCATTTTCTTCTGGCCTTACACAGAGCCACTTTCCAAGAAGCTAGAGCCTTCCAAGCAGCAAGCCTTTCTGCACATGCTTATTAAAGAAAGACATGACATTTTGTATGAAAATGAGATCAGAGAGATGAAGTACACAGACTACCCTGGAGAACATTTGCACTTGAAAGGTGTGAACAGTGTTTCTTACAATCATATAGTTTACACCCTTGCAAGCCAACCATTGCAAAGCATATGTACCACAGATTTTTCTCTATACTGTTAAATTCTCTAATTAAGAAATTCTTGTTCTAAAAAAGTCCTTGATTCAAAGTTACTAAGTTCCCAATATTTCATTTTCAGTTTAAAAATTTAGAATATAAAATGGGTATCCTATCTAATAAAAGAGAAACATGGTAATTGGCGTATCAGGGTGATATGCAAATTAACTGCCAGCCAAGATGGCCGCCGGCAGCCAGGCAGCTTGAAACTAACATGAGGCTTGCTTGCTTCAGTGACGGAGGAAAGCAACGTTCCCCGCCTGCCTTGCCAGGCTCTGAGCGGGCAGTTTGAAACATTTTAACAAACATAGAAGCTTAAAAAAACCCCAGAAACCACCTTTCAGCGAGCTGGGATCTCAGAGCTGGAGTCAGAACTGGAGTTATACATTGTTTCGATTATAGAACTGAAACAAACCAGTTACCTATTTTCAGCAGCGGAGGCCTAAGAGCTGGAGCCTCAGAGCTAAAGCTGGCCCAATATTAAAAAAAAAAAAGAAAAAAGAAAAAAAGGAGCGGTTGGGAGCTTCTGTCACCTGCCAGCCTGAAAACAGCCCTCAGCCCCTCACCCAGACTGGCCAGGCACCCCAGTGGGGACCCCCACCCTGATCCAGGACACTCTTCAGGGCAAACCAGCCAGCCCCACCCATGCACCAGGCCTCTATCCTATATAGTAAAAGGGTAATATGCCTCCCAGCACCGGGATCAGCGGAGCCAAGAGGCCTCCCAGCATCGGGATCAGCGTGACAGGGGGCAGCGCCCAAACCCCCTGATTGCCCTGCAACTCTGTGTGTGACAGGGGGCGAGGCCACAACCTCCCTATCTGCCCTGCTCTGTTCGTGACAGGGGAAGGCGCCCCAACCTCCTGATCAGCCCTGCTCTGTGCCTGATACGGGGGAGCTCCCCAATCTCTGATAGCCCTGTGGCTCTGTGTGTGACAGGGTGCGGTGCCCCAATCCCTTGATCGGCCCTGCTCTGTGTGTGACAGGGTAGAGCCATAACCTCCCCATCGGCCCTTCCCTGAGTGTGAGAGTGGTGGCGCCCCAACCCCCTGATCAGCCCTGCTCTGTGGGTGATAGAGGGCGGCACCCCAACCCCCTGATCCACGCTGCTCTGTGTGTGAAAGGGGGCGGTGCCCCATCTCCCCTATAGGCCCTACTCTCTGAGTGACAGGGGGGGGCTCCCCAACCCCCTGATGGGCCCTGCTCTGGGTGTGACAGGGGGCAGCGCCCCCACCCCCAGATTGGCCCTGCTCTGTGCATGATAGGGGGTGGTGCCGCAACCTCCCCATAGCACCTGCCTTGAGTGTGACAGGGGGCGGTGCCCCCAACGCTCCAATCGGCCCTACCCTGAGCGTGACTGGGGGTGGCATCACAACCTCCCAATCCACCCTGCTCTGTGCATGACAGGGGGCGGCGCCCCAACTCCCCAATCGGCCCTCCTCTGAGCTAGACCAGGGCCTGCACCTAAGGATTGGGCCTTCCCTCTGTCACCCGGGAGCAGGCCTAAGCCAGCAGGGCGTTATCTCCCGAGGGGTCCCAGACTGTGAGAGGGCACAGGCCAGGCTGAGGGACCCTGTACTGCTGAATATTCAGCCATGAATTTAATCAAATGAAATATTTTGTAGTTGAATATTTATTTCTACTCTCAAATCACAGAATTCTTGAATTGGAAAGGCCCTTAAGCAACTATCCTTTCCAAAGCCATCATTTCATACGTGAGGATATTAAGGCCCTGACAGATGAAGTAACTCAGACTCACTCTTTCTTCTTCTTTGAGCAGTAACATTAAAACAACCACATTTTAAAAAAGATTTTACTTCATATTATATTCAGAAGACACAAACATGTTCTCTTTATAGAATTCCCAATTCCTAAAATCAAACATTTTAGTCCTCTACGTTTTAGCACTTTAGTACAAATTTAGTCATAAGGGTTTGATCATTCCCATTTGACATTCCCGTTCCTTTAATCTTAGACTTTCCCCATAGTTTTTCCCATAATGTCATCTGAATTTTGTAAAAAAAATTAAGATTCTACAAAAATGTTATATAAATTACAAATATTATTTTTATATGACAAGATCTTTAAACAATGCATTGTGAGTTTCTGAAATAAGTGCAAGTCTATAATTAAAAAACAAATTCATTTATTGCTTTAAAATATTCCAGAAAAAAAAGGTGGAAAAATAGATAAAATAAGATCATACTTATAATTTAATTACAATTGCTATAAAATTATAGTAGTAATAGATATATGTGTTTTATTGTACTATTTTATTTAGTAAATATTTGAAATTTTTCATGTTAATATGTTTATGTAATTTTATTTTTTAATGTTTATTTTAAAAATCATTCTATGTACTTACCACCTTTGGGTAGAACTTAGTTACCAAGTCTCAATGTATATCAAGTCTCAATTCTAATCAATAGTAAAAAAGTAAAAGAAATAAAATCAATGTTTTGTCTTTTAATTGTGTAACAAAATCATATAACTTTACCTTAGCTATCTTATCAATTTTTAAGTGACTAATTCAATAGTGTTAAGTATAATCACATTGTTGTGCCATGGATATCCAGAACTTTTTCATCTTGCAAAACTATAGTTCCCCATTAAATAACAATTCATTAAATAAACTGGAACAACCCATGACCACTCCTCATTTCCCTTTCCCTCAGCCCCTGGCAACCACTACTTCCTGTTTCTATGAATTTGACTACTTTAAATATCTCATGTAAGTAGAATCATAGTGTATTTGTCTTTTTTTGTTACTGGTTATTTCACTTACACAATATCCTTAAGGTTCATCCATGTTGTAGCATGTGACAGAATTTTCTTCTTTTTTTTAAAATCTGAATAACATTCCATTGTATGTACATGCTACTTTTTTTTTCTTTGTCCATTTATCCACCAATGGATATTTGGGTTATTGCCAACTCAAAAATCTTAATCTTAATATATTTTCTGAGGAAACTGAAATAAAAGATGCCATGAGAAAAACTCAACTAAGCAACAAGGAGGAAAAATGGACACGTAACGGGAACAAAGTCCACCTGATTGATATTCATTACTGCAGGGACTACAGGAAATTGAGCATACTTACTATAAATTAGTCAGTGGGTCTATAAGAAACTACATTTATTTTTTATCTACTTTTGTTTTCTAATCCCCTCTTATTTTGGTACCCTTTGTTGATAGAACTATTCAAAGGATATTGAGAGATATAAATACATTTGTACTCCCTTAGTCTAGAGATACAGCTGTAAGTAATATGGCTTGACTGAGAAGACATCATGAAGATTAGGAGGGTGTCAAATTCTTCAGACTAAAACAATTTTTATTAATAAAAACAATTTTTATTAATTTTTATTAATAAAAAATAGTAATTATTTTTTATTAATAAATAATTAGGATTTACATTTAAATCCTAAATTTGTCAAAGAAATGGTTACAGGTATTCCATGGTTTATTTTAATGATGTATTTAATAAATCATTTGCTTTCTAAAAGGCTGAGCACTGTGCTCCATTTAGCAACTTAGAAAAGTTTCCTGAATGACACTGGGAGGATAATTATTTATTATTTATTAGAGGGAATGAACCTACCATAGAGGGTATGGCTCTTCAGATGATTGTACTCCATCTGATTCCATGAGGGATAAAGTCCATCTAAAATCACTTATTTCTTGGGAACTGAGAAGCCACTGCCACCTTATGGGAGCCACTTTTGTGTTTTGTATTTTGCCTCTAGTTCACTTTCTCAGCTTCCACTCCAGGGGGTCACTGATCCCTTGGGCTCATTAAATTTCTGGCTTGAATTATATGGAGTGATTAATGGTGGTGAGCCTGGTACAGGCTGAGGTCACTGTACTGAGCATCCTGTATGTCAGGGACAAATACGGCAGTGAACATCCACCAACTCACTTTTCCCCTTAGCGACTGTAATTTATTCATCCCAGAGTACACTCAACCATCTGCTAGTTACTTTGTTTTCTTTAGGCATTATTTCCTTCTATTGGCTAAGCCAGGGCACAGGTGAAAAGTGGTAAGAAGCAAAGGGAAGTTGCTGTTGTTGGACACAGGAGGGGTGAGTTGAGCTCCCCAGGAGGAAGAGCATTCAGCTCCACAAAAAGGCCTAACTGTATTGTCGAATACTTAAATCCCTGTCTACTAGGAGCATTTGGGCCAGGCCCAAGCATAACTAGTGAAGGCTAGACCCCTGGGGTGAGGAGTGTAAAGCTGGGGAATTTTAAGCATCCTTAATAGTAGCCTCGTAATAAACTGATGCTCTGAATCTTTGCTAGAGTCTGTACATGACTGGGCTATAAATTTTACATTTGGCTAAGTGACTCGTAAAGAAACACCCACCTGATTTCAGACATGCATTTTTGGCAGCCAGGGCACTCGCTAAATTAGCTATGGTTCTATTTTTAACTCCTTTCTTTCTCTGCTTAAAATACAATGATTCTATCTGTATAGTTTTATAACTATACCCTCTACTATTGCTTATTAGACCATCTCTTGGGCTGTGAGATTACGTTTTTAAATACCCAAAACATTGGATTTTTTTTTTTTTTCATCTATAAGCTTCTGGCTCTGTGAGCTGTTTTTCATGAAAGAAACTATAGTAAGTGATTTATCAAAGTGCATTTCAGCTTATTTGTACCATCGCAATCTCTGCTATTACAGAGTGATAAAAATATAAAAACACTTTTTCTTCAGGAAGAGTTGAAGTATCTCTTGTCTGGGGAGGTCCAGTGTTGACTTGAGGAACTTTGGTCAAGCTGGTATTTGACCTTTGGCAGGAGACTGCCCTGGGTCTTATATTCCCAACAAACTGGGCCCAAGACAATAGCATGCTTTATAGCCCAGAGCCTGGTCAGTGTGTTTCTCCAAGGAAGACCTCAAGCTGAAAAGCCAACATGCCTGACAAGCACCGTCAAGGTACCAAGGGCATAAGCACTAGACATTGGAAAACAAATGGAAAAGCACACACAGCTACATCTGGAATCCTAATGGGCCGCCAATGGTTCCCAGCTACAGGAAGAATTACCCGTGTTATTTTATCATCCCTTGCGCTAACTTCGCTGTTTATGTACAGCAATAAATGATTTTTTAAAAACATATTTGGGTCATTATGTCATATACCACCAGCAAGTAAGGTTGTTTTATTGTGCTTGGAGTCAAAATACACTGCTGTACCCAGATGGACGGGAAGTTTAAAATCTCTTGTCCTTCTGTATTTATTCCTCTTGGATAAATGAGTTAAGTTTTTAAAAGGGAAATTGAGAATTTTTATGGCTTCTACTCCCACCTTGCCAATAAAATTTGCACCAGTATTTTTCTACCCAGCAAAGGTGCTTGGCCAATGATAACACAAAATGGTAATGCAGAAAGCCAAACAGCTTCCAACCAACAGGAAATGCCAGAGACTTTTTAAAAAACACTTTTAGCAAGTTGGATTCTTCTTCCACGGCTATGCTGTAATCAAAAAGTAAGTGCAGATGAGGAATATGGAGTGAAATCCAGAGGTTCAAGCTGTCTCTTCCTCATGCAATGATATGTGGGTTTCTTCCTTCCTTTCTGGTCATTGCAGGCAGTTTAAAAATGCACCTGCCCTGTTAACTCCTTTATCATACATACCCAGCATTTACCAACAAGATGAAATTTTTTTTATATATATTTTATTGATTTTTTACAGAGAGGAAGGGAGAGGGATAGAGAGTTAGAAACATCGATGAGAGAGAAACATCAATCAGCTGCCTCCTGCACACTCCCTACTGGGTATGTGCCTACAACCAAGGTACATGCCCTTGACCAGAATCTAACTGGGACCCTTGAGTCCACAGGCTGACGCTCTATCCACTGAGCTAAACTGGTTAGGGCAAGATGAAATATTTTTGTAGTTTAAAAAAAATTCCAAAATGCCTATCTCTTTATAATGTATTTGTTTGCATGCTCTTCAATCTATAATCTAGTTATCTAGTTGGTTTCTTTTCCTACCCTTTCCAAATGTTTAAAGCTCAAGTCATCCAGATATGCTTCCATTTCATTATTAACAAAGGAAAATTTTCTTTTACATGAATAAAGAAAGTTAAGGACTTTACACTTCAAGGGAGGGAAAAGGAGAGGAAAGGCTAAGAAAAGCAGATGTTCAGACATGACTGACCCACCTCCCCAGAACTGGTTCTGGTGCGAGTGTTTGGTTTCTGACGCAGAGGATGCTGGCTTTCCTGTTTACTTAGTGAGCCCTGTCACTGGTTTACAGGTGGCCTGGAAAGAAGATTTAGGAAATGTTTTCTCTCACCATAAATGAACATCAAATTATTTTACAATGTGCCCTGGGACATACATCATGACAGGTTGGAAGCTAAAGACAATCTCAAAGCAGAGGTGAAGGTGGTGGGGGTGAGAAAATATTGGGGGGAGAGGAAGGAGTAGCTGAGTGTTGAAGGAAGTTGTGAAGAACTTTGCTTCAGAATTCTTGGTGAAACATTGTTATAAATTTTTCAAATGTTTACTAAGAGATAAGTCATTGTGCTCTTTAGCCTGGAACACATCCTTTCCCTAGCCCCCTACTTTGGCAGAATTTCTAAGTTCTGGTCATTCTTGCACTGTAACAGACTTTAATTTTCCAAAAGATCCCCTTTAGTATACAGTACCAAGTTCCCCAGAACCATCACCGAAATCTTATTTTGCTACTAACAATCAGTCTTCTTAACAAAGCAGTTAACTTGATTCTGAGTTTTACCCAAATTCTCTACAGGAGGAAAGCCTAAAATCAGCATTGCTTTCATATGAAGAAACCATTACTTGATAACTTATCAACTAAGGGCTAGTATTCCTTCTTTATTTTCTCCTTTTTTCATGCTAATTACATTGATCTTTTCCTTTTGTCCTATTAACACTTTTTTTTTTTCAGAAATATTAATGGTGATTTCTTCCCTTTTTCTTGCTCATGTTCTGGGCCTGTCCTCCTGACACACGTCTAGATTACATTTCAGCAGTATCTGATTCTCATCACATCTCACATTCCCAGAGAATTTCGGAGCCACTTCTATTTCTATGTTCGCCTTGCTCAGAAGTCTACACAGATGATCTATGTCAACTCATGTCCCTCCTCCTTCAGAATGCTGCCAGGAATCACCTCCTAAACTCAGTTGAATGGATGGCTCCATTCAACTGAGTAACTTTGACAATACTGTTTGCACACTGACGAGAGAAATCATTTAGGACAGTGATGGCGAACATATGACACACGTGTCAAAGGTGACAAGCGAACTCATTTTTTTGGTTGATTTTTCTTTGTTAAATGGCATTTAAATATATAAAATAAATATCAAAAATATAAATCTTTGTTTTACAATGGTTGCAAATATCAAAAAATTTCTATATGTGACACGGCACCAGAGTTAAGTTAGGGTTTTTCAAAATGCTGACACGCTGAGCTCAAAAGGTTCGCCATCACTGACTTAGGAAGATGTCTCAGTATTCTGCAAATGTTTTCTATTTTTTCTATAATTCTTCTGTTCCTATTCTTTTGTTTTCCCATTAGCATATATCTTCTTGTCCTAATTTAAAGTTAAAGCTTATAGTGAATATGGAAAGATCATATAACCAAATACTTTTTGTGAGTTTCTTGAGTTCTCCCTTCTGTGTTCACTATATTATATGAAAGGAAATCAAGAAATATGGCTACCTGACTGATCCAGTCTGAAATTGTTTTTCTTGCTGTTTTGCTCTTTGGTCTGGTATAGCTAAGCATATCTTAAATGATCACTCACTGACCTTTGTTATCATCTAGGTGTCACAGCCATTAGACTCAAGATTTCTGAGGTGACATAGGGTATACCCACCTTCTATTTGCCAGTACAAAATGAAGAACAATAGAGATGAAAAAAATTATAAATTGAAAAATTTTTTCGGGGGGGGGTTGGTTGCCTCTAACCTCCTCTTCAACATTTGCAAGAATATTCTCTCCTTTCCCAAACTAAGGTGTTATGTGCCTTCTTAATTTATAACATCTCCAATAAAAACAGCAAGATGTGATATTACTTAAACTTTGAAATGAGTTATCACAAAAATATTCACTCTTTTATAAGTGTTCAATTTTTAGCCTCATTCTTATTATGGAATAAAGTATCTCCAAAGAGAGGAGTTTAGAGAATATTCAGAAAATGAGAAAAATATTGAGGTTTGGGCATTTTGGGTCTTATGGACTATAGAGTGAACTTGCTTCAGTTTGGGGGGACATTTTTCTCAATAAGGGCCTAGTAGGGCTTGTGATTTTCCATGTTCCTTAATGCAGAGATTCCTGAGCCCTAAGAGTCACAGATACCAGAGGTCCTATACCCCCAAACCGGCCTGGGTCTCCTAGCATCAGTGCCATTCATACATCTCCTTTACCCCCACCACAGTTACATGTTCCCTCTTTGCTTCTTCTAGAAAATAATCCGTAATCCTGTCATTCAAAGTTTCAGTTATTTCCAATACCTCAACCAATTGAATGACACCAGGGATCAGGGAACAGTTGCTAAGTAATTATCAGTTGAGGCACCATCAGCCCAAGGATAGGAACCATCAGCCCCAGTACACACATGGCTTAATGTCAAAGCATCATGGTAATTAGCAGATTTGATCCTGCTCCTTTGCCCAAGTCCCTGAGAGCATGTCCCAATAAAGTTTATAGGCATTCATTGACATAGTCACTTCTCTGTCTTATTGGCATCATTTTTAACTGAGGTACAATTGTAGTTGCAATACAAATAAATAATGCAATAATTAATATTTTAAGAATTAACTCTATGTTTCATGTATTAACAACTTAAACTTGCTTTTGCCCACACCTGTGTTGAAAATGTACAACTTGATAATTTTATATATATACATATTTATTGATTTCAGAGAGGAAGGGAGAAGGAGAGAGAGAGAGACATCCATGAGGAGAGAGAACCATTGATCGGCTGCCTCCTGCACGCCCCCCTACTGGGGATCAAGCCAGCAACCCAGGCATGTGCCCTTGGCTGGAATTGAACCTGGGACCCCTCAGTCCGCAAGCTGGCGCTCTATCACTGAGCCAAGCCGGCTAGGGCAACTTGATAATTTTTGACATTTGTATAAACCTGTGAAACCACTACAAGTCAAGATATTAATGAAGATATCCATCACCCCCCAAAGTGTCCACATCTCCTTTGTTATCCCTCTCTCACGTTCCTGCCTCTCCCCAGACAACCACTGATTTGTTTTCTGTCACTACAGATTAATTTGTATTTTCTAGAATTTTACATAAGTGGAATCCTATTGTATGTGCCCTTTTTCTTTGATTTCTTTCACTCAGCACAGTTATTCAGATATTCATCTATGTTGTGGTATGTAGTTGTATGTATCACTAGTATGTTTACTTTTGTTGTTGGGTAGTCTTTCATTGTATGGATGTCCTATCTGAGAGGCATTTAGTACTGAGCCTCTTCTATGTGGCAGGTACTGTGCTAGACACTGGAATATAATCACTAAAGTCTACATCCCATCACTCAAGGATCTATTTGATGTCTAATATAGATACAGAAAGGTAACTTGGCAATTATAGTAAAGTTTGATCTGTGCTGTAAGGGAAGTAAGCACAGGGCTTTTGGAACCTCAGCAAAGACCATGTAAATCAGGCATGGAGGAGGGAGTTCAGCAAAACCTCTTAGAGGAACTTGTGCTTGGGGCGGCTTTTGGTGGGTAGGCAGAAATTTGTTTCAGGAGGAGGTCAGAGAGCTACAGGTAGCTCTATATGCCTGGCATGGTGGGGATAGATGAAGCTAGTGAGAAGAAACTAATCATACGCTAGTTAAGAAATTAATTATATGTTGAAATTTATTGAAGGGATTCAAATAGCAATTGAATGACATCATTAAATTTACTTTTTACTGTGGAAGAAGGTAAGGCTAGAGATAGGAAGACCAATTAAGAGGTTATTAAAGTAGAATACATGAGAGTGGATAGTGGTTTAGGCTCAGATGGTGGATGTAGAGACTGGAGTAAGTAGACAGACCAGAAAAGAAGTGACAGAGACAGAGGAAAGAGAATTCTAAGTTCTCATTGATTGACTGATCAAATGTGTGGGGAAAAGTCCAGTGGATTCCCATAGTTCAGGCTTGAATAACTAGGTAGACAATGGATTAAGAAGTGAAAGTAGGGTTGGGGAAGAGGACAAATTCATTCTAATTTTGAGTTCAAGGATGAGTTCTAATATTTTGACATTCAAACGGAGAAGTCTGGAATTTAGATGGATGTAAATATGGGTTTAGACTGTGCAGAAGTTTGGAGATGGAGATATACTTCTCCTCATATTTGCAGGCTTGGAGGAGAAAAAAGATAGAGAATGGAGAAGAACAGAAGGCTTAAAATGCAGATCTTGGAAACACTACCTCTGTGGGGGTGAATTAAGTCATGAATCTTATGTATTTACTAGTGGCCTGGTGCCTGGATTCATGCACACTGAAAGGAAAATAAGTAGATGAAATATTTTAATATAGCTATTTGCCTTTTCTCTGTAATGGACACCAGTCATCACCTGCAGGGTGATCAGTGGGGTAAGAGGGCCTCACCTGGCTCCCTCAGCAACTGGGAGCCAGGTGGTGGCCCCACCCCCCACTGCCACTGCTGGTTGCTGTCTGCAGGGTGATTGATGGGGCAATCGGGCCCTGCTCACACCCACTTGGCCTGGCGCCTCCCACTCACCTGCTCCACCATCCCGTGGAGGTCCTGCTCTCATCAGGGCCCATTGAGGCTGGCAGCACCTCCACTGCTGCCCACTGCCAGCACCACGTCACCAATGCCTGCCATGTTCCGCACCGCCCCCTGGTGTTCAGCACACTTCAAAGCCAGTGGTCAAACTCCCAGTCAAGGGGACAATTTGCATATTGGCTTTTATTATATAGGATTTCTGCTACTTAACTAGTATGTAAGTTCCTGAAGGAAGAGGCTTTGCCTTGAACTTTTCAGTTACCCAGGGCCTCTGACAGAGGAGGGGTTCAAAACTAACTGATTATTTGCAAATTAGGAATACAGTCATTGTGGGTCTCTGAGAGGCTGATTCATAAGGTGCACTAAAATTCTGAAGCAATTGGTTTGTAAGAGGCAGGGCGTGAGTTTTCACCACCACACAGATGTGATCAATTTCTGTTCAGTAGAAGCAACATTGCTAATTACAGAATTTTCTGATATTTAACTGCATATATAACAAGGAAAGGTACTTCTTGTTCCTAAACCAGTAAAGTGGCTTTAGT